CAAAATATGAGAAAAATGATAGTGCAAGTAATTTAGGAACAAAATTTCATATTTGTTGGATACTAACACTATAAAACATCTACTAAGCCTTTTGAATCAATGCACCCTAAAAAAAAAGTCAAATCAAGTTTAATAAAAAAAGCAACATTAAATCTAAAGAAGCTAACAATGAACAATTTCACCCTGCTCTGTTTTTCAACAGTCAGAAAATGGAAAATGACTTTCGAACATCTATTTCTCTCTTCAATAACTTAAACTTCTATGTAGACCAACAAAATTAAGAGGCTCACCAAGATAATCATGGCAATAATACCTCAAGTTAAAAGAAAACGTATTTAGCAACTAAAATCGTTAACCATTGATAATGGGATGTACATTGAAACGACTATTCTTTGTTCCTTATTTAACAAAAGAAAGCCGTGCACCATTTTATAAAATGGACTCTTCGTCATTCCTCTTTCCTGCATACTGATCGATGAATCTTCGCATTTTCAATTGTAGAATCCCTCATATCAAAAACAAGATGGATAGGTTAGCATAACTTAACATCTCAAGATGTGTTTAGACTATGTCTAGCTTTAATTTTGAGGAAAAAAAAGAATGATACAAAATTTTAACATGTAAAATACATGCTAGGGCATTTCATAGATGTGTCCTAACACATATTGAACATCAACACAAAAGGCTTTTTAAAGCTTTTCTGCTTCATATAAGTCAACACCTCAAACAACACTCAGACAAAAATGAATGGAGTATAATGAATTAATGATGAAAGTGATATTCAGGTGATTGTTTGTTGGGAAGTATCCAAATTTATAACAAACGTCTCAATATGTACAAATTACATTTGGATAATTAGAACATTGTTAATTGTCTATTTCTTTTACATAGTTTTGCTTTTCAGACGACAACCACAGCTCTATTTGGCTATAAATTTCTTGTTATTTTGCAAAAATATCTACGTTAGTAAGTATCTTTTTAGAACCAAATCAGGCAGAGTACAATAGTAACAAAAAAATAGTTATCAAAATTTAACCAGAAAATAAAAATTTTAGGGGGGCATTTACATAAATACCACCAAATTCCCTATGAATTTGCATAGATAACACCCAAAATTTGCTTTTTACATTCATAGCACATAAATCTTTTATATCACATCAAAGATATCACTATTTTTAGCTTTTAAAAAGTAAAATACACATTTTCATGCAGAAGCAAGGTAGCATATAGGTAAAAATTTAAGTTTAGGAGTTAGCTAAGTAAACACAAAAGCATTGAGAGGTATAAGCATGTAGATCTTCCAAATTTATAATAATCAGAACTCTCCAAAAATTATTATCCCAGCAACTATTTAACAATTAGTTTTAGAAATATCTATAGTTGGCCCCAAATAGAACTTTAAAATATTAAAAACTGTATAATATTCAAATCAACATTGCCTCACATTTTCCTTTAGTTTCAGCTTACTATGATAGGTTTTATAGAAAAAATGAATTAAAATTCACTTCACATCTCCAAAATATAAAGCCAACCTTTTGGTTGAAATATGTTGCCTTTGGTCACCAAGTGAAAGGACAGAGATTCAAACCAACCCTAGAAAATTAAAAAATAAAAAAGGATTATAACTGACAGTATTAAAACTTTAGAAAGAATCAAAAAGTTTTTCATCATGTTAGGTTTTGAAGCATCAATGTGAATAATTTAGATTACATTTGGATATTGCTTATGACCTATTTTTGGTTTCAAAAAAAAGCAATTCTTGATTAGTCATACTTCTTTAGTTTTTTAGTGCAATTATGCAACTCAAGAATTTCCATTCAACACAAGAAGAATCCAGCCACAGAAGCAGTCTTTGTTTCATAGTATCCATTTAATGTTTTACCTTTTGTCAATGAAACGGAGACATAAATACCCCAACCAATATGTTATAATTACATGGTTATAAAAATCATACTAGCCACAAACCTCAACCTCAGCAAATGAAACCACAAAACCATACTAAGCAACAAAGCAATGTGATCCGCTGAGAACAGCAAAAGCTACGTAAGGTAAAAATTGAAGTTTAATGAAAAGCTCTATCAAGAAATCAATGTGGACAAGATGGAAAAGATCTCTCTTGTCTCCCCCCTTCAAGTGATGCTGAGAAGATCTCAGCTTAAAGAGAAATATCTTATGAGAATTCTAAGCTTTGTGGGGAAGATCATTGTGAGCTCATTCTCAATTGAGCCCTTCTATCTAAGATCATGTTTTTTCTTATGATGAATTTGCATAGTTCCTATGCTTAAGATTTTGAGAATGATTCAATTTTTGTGTACAACATTCATTTTATGTTTAAATTTTCATATGCAGAAATAGACCCTTTCTTGATTGGTCCTCCTTCACATACTCCTACATGAAGACATATTGCAAGCATATTATAAACAAAATTTTTGAAGAGCATATAAAATAAGGGTGGTAATATTCTGTTTTGTGCTTTCTATCATAGGCCATTTTTCAGCCATATGTCTACAAAATAGAAATCAATGGCTTTTTTAGCAGCATCTTTTTACCCTAGTTTTTCAAGAATAATTTTTCACCTCAATATTCAAGATGCAAAATTTGCGCCCATAAAAACTTTAATCAGCTCGAAAACATAGACAAATTCACAGGATCCAATTTATATCATACAAAAGTCAACAAATTAATGTTTTGTGTTAGCATCAGTTAAACATTGCTCACCATCATGTTCAATCTGAATCAAAGAACCAAAATTGAAAACTAGATAAAAGTTTATCTTGACTACATATTTAGTAATTAGAAACGTTGAAAATCCAAAAAAAATCACATTTAAAAGTTTCCTAAAACCACTGAATGCAAAGAGTGGACAGCCAAAATTGCCACATGAAATTTGGATTCGAGGATTAATCTAAGACAGAGGGCACTACTCTCTAGTAAATAGTATTTTTAGTTCCTCTGCACCTCCCTTTCCACATTTCAATTTATGCCAACATAATTGCACATTATAACTATGTTACGCCCAGTACTTATCCAGTCCAGTAGGAACCGGCCTATTGCAATCCCACCGGCCCACAGACCAGCCCGCCTTTGTCGCGGGAAGAAGGGGAGGCAATCGAGCGAGGCGCAGAGGAAGGAAAGGAAGGGGTGGGGTCCAGTAGGGCTATAATCACATAGTCAAGGAGGAGAAATTGATGGGAGTTTGGAGGAAAGTTTAGAAGGAAAGTTTAGAAGGAAAGTTTTCAAATGCTGTATGAGAATTCTATTAAGAGGGAACCTAGGGTTTATTTTATTTTCATGCATGTTTTGTTGTTGCTGCTGTTTTCTTTCCTCTTTCTAGGATTTGGGAGAGACGATCTACCTCTCGAATAGTAAATCAGTCTTGTATTTTGTTTATTTTCCTTTGATTGTTGTAAGATCAACCCTTATTTGTGTTTTTTCCACCTAACTATTGCGATTGTGTTGCCGTTTGTTCGCTGATTTTGTTGTTGAGACGTATCAAACTATCATGATCGCTAGCTATACAAGCTACATATTTCAACCCTGCATTCCACCCTAGCCAAAGGCAATTGCGCTCATGGTAAAATAATTATGGGCGTGTATTCGCATATTCATCCACACCAATTTGCCTGCACACAATTCACTTGGCATCAGTAGCCAGGTTTTTTATTTTTAATCAAAACATGCTTTTGCCTATACATAGTGGAGGTTGATCATAATTGACAACATTAAAAATCCCAATACAACTCAGCCTCAGTACACATCTTTCAACATTAGACAAACAGATTGGCGACATCAAGCCATCAACCTTGATAAAGGAACTTCTGTGTCTCTTTCCTAGGTGTTTTCTCCTCCAACCTTTTTCCCAGTATGGATGATCAAAAGATCAAACTCACGACCAACAAATTCATCATTTTATGCTTACTCTAAAACCTGCAAGTCCTGATAGAATTTCCATCACTGCTGTTGAGGGCATAAAGAAAGTTGTGGTCTCAAACCAGTTGCTCCAGAACATGAAGAAGGAAAGTGAGGCCCACTTTTTTTTCTTCCAATGTATTTGTCTTCATCCAGGTTTCAACTGCAAATTTTCCCTTTCTTTTTCTTTCTTTTTCTTGCCCTAGTACTTCTGAACTATTCATTAATTGCAAAGGAAAAAAACTGGAACTGAACCAATCAAGTTCTCTCTAATGTTTTGTTCGAATGAGAGTACAGTTCACAAAAAAAACTGGAACTGAACCAATCAAGTTCTCTCTAAAGTTTTGTTCGAATGAGAGTACAGTTCACAAACTCATATAACCAAAATGAATAACTAAGCGGGTTTAGCTGAAACAGTCATTTTTACGGTCAGTTCAACAAGAACCCAGTGATCTCACTATTTTCAAGTTGCGTCTCTTTGCTAGTGATAAGATTTTAATTACTTCAAAGATAAAAGAACAAAAGGCTTTTGCACCCAAAAAATCTAAAACATTCAGCATATTTTATCTTTTTTGCTGCTTACTAATCCTGCTCAAGCTGGACATCTAATCGGATCATTTAATTATTGAGAAAATCTAAGAGCACAAAAATCTATAATCAAGGACATTCAGCTTCTCTGCTTTTAAACTGTATTATAACAAATAATAAATCATTTCATTCAAAATTTTAGAGATAGACAACAATGTTCGTGATCACAAGTAAAAGCCACGTATTAAATAAAGCCTTTTGAGAGTATCAATCTCCCCATCAGAGGTCATAGTCAATAGACAAACTCATAACAAAAAATGATGTTTCCATCAAATGGTGTACTGGAGAACAAGCATGGAACTGCTTTGAGGAGCATAAATAGAAAAGCAAAAGTTCAATGTCAAAAAAGAAATCAAACAAGGAAAGGGATAAACATAAGCTTCACATTTAAACATAAAGCAAAACCTTCCAATGCGTAGGTTTATTGTTTGTACAAAAAAGCCAAAATCAGAAAGTTCATAAAAATTGAAGGTTATATAATGAAACATGAATTGATAACTTACCCGAACAATCTCTTCATAAGTTTCATCATCAATCTCCACAGTAGTAATGATTTCCTCAACATCCCCAAGTATCATATTCAAATGTTGATCATAAGCCTATAAATCCAATAAAAAGAAAAGTTTGTTACACATACAATAGGATCATAAATAAATAGAAAGTCCTGCCACAAGAATCACAGCTCACTAACCAGATATGATAAACATAAAAGAAAGAATTTTTCAGAAAAACCTAACCTGTACATTCATAACATGGGCTTAAATAGGGTATTACAATGATTTACAAATAAACCCCTCGACTTCTTCAATATTTCCCGTTCACCAATAGAAACCTAAATAAAATCTAATTCTCAACACTCCCCCTCAAATGGGCAAATAATATCCACTAAACCCATCTTGTCACATAACCGAGACAAATCTAGTGAACTAAGTCCTTTAGTAAGACGGTCTGCCACTTGCTCTCCAGTGCCTACATGACTTAGCTCCAATAGCCCACTATTCAGTTTTTCTTGATGAAGAATCTATTAATCTCCATATGTTTAGTTCTATCATGTTGCACTGGGTTGTTGGCAATGTTAATTGCTGCTTGTTGTCGCACCACAACTTCATTCGAGTTCCTTACTCCACCTTGAGCTCAACCAACAAGGCTCTCAGCCACATCATCACGACAACTCATAAGGCCATGGCCCTATACTCTCTAGTGTTGACCTCGCTACTAAATATTGTTTCTTGCTCTTCCAAGAGACCAAGTTGCCCCCTACAAACATGCAGTATCCTGACGTGGATCTTTTGTCATTTGCACAGCTCGCTCAGCGGCGTCACAAAAGCCCTCAATGTCTACATGTTCATTCTTCCTGAAGATCAACCCCTTCTCTAGTGCACACTTCAGTTACCTCAAAATCCAGACACTGCATCCATATGACACTTCTTTGGATCATACATGTAGCGGCTCACAAATCTCTAGTACCTCTCACGATCAACCGGTTCTCCTGCATTTGTACTCAGCTTATGCTTCTGGTTAATTGAAGAGACTGTAGGTCTGCACCCCCAGTACGCATATTTCCATGAGGAGATCTAGTACGTACTTTCTCTGGGACAAGATCATTCCCTCAGGTCCACGGGCCACTTCAATCCCAAGAAAGTATCTGAGCTTTCCAAGATCATTCGCCTCAATTTCATTACACGATCTTATCTTTAGTCGGACAATCTCTCCCTTATTATCACCTATGACAATGATGTCATCAACATATGCAGCAAGTATGATGGTGTGGTCTTCATGCCGTCAAAAGAGCACAGTATGATATACATTGATCTGTTGATTTCTCATATCCACCACTCAATGAGACTATTTCAAGTCATACAATGACTTTCTGCTACACACCTTGCCCACTGTCTGGACTGTATCGAATATTAGTGGTATCTCCATATATACCTCATCCACAAACTCATCATGAAGAAATGCATGCTTCACATCAAGTTAGTGTAACCTCTTCCACCTACCATTCATCGCCAGAAAAAACAATGTCATCACTGTGCTCATATTTGCTACTGGTGCAAAGATTTCATCAAAGTCAATGTCATATGTTTAACTATACCTTTTCTCAACCAGTCGTGTTTTGTACCGCTCCACCTTTCTCTATAGAGTTTGATTCACCGTGAAAATCCACTTGCACCCAACTACCTTTCTCTCCGCTGGTAGTGGCATTATCTCTCATGCTTGATTTTATCAAGAGCCCTAGCTCTTCATGCATAGCCACTTTCCACTTGAGAACCTTCATAGCAAACTGTCAACACTTGGGTATAGACACAGTACCCAAAGATGCAATAAATATTCTATGTAAAGAAAATATGTTATACTATGAAACAAAGTTAGCAATGTCATGTTGCTATCCAAAAGGATCGAGAGAATGTCTCGCACTACTGTGCAAGGCCCTCCTTAAAGTTGAATGGATATGAGAAGAAAGAGGATGAATCATATCACCTGGGAGTTCTGAGTCGAAGGTGGATAGTATAGATGTCTCAAGTGTCAGGAAAGACCAGGACAAGGGATTAGCTAGCACAAGTGGCACTGCAGGCACTGTTCCCTCATTTTGCTTCTTTCTCTGTAAATACACCCTTAGCTTTCCTTCAACTTGAATCCCACCGCCTCTAGGTTCACTTTCCCCATTTTCTGGTTCCTTAACTAATTCATCCTACATCGCGGGATAAGGCATTACTCCCACATGTAACACTCTCTCGCCATTGCTACTCTCCCCTCTTACCTCACATCTTCAGTATATGGCAAGTCATCGAAGTTTGAGGTCATCTCCTAAGTGTAGTATGGTTCAAATTTCCTAAACAACACATTCGTGCTCACAAACAGTCTTTTATATAATGGGTTCCAGCAAACATACCCTTCTAGGTAACAAAATAACCTACGAACGCACATTTCACAGCTCTAGGATCCAGCTTCTCAATTGGTGGTCAAATATCATTCACAAAATATACACATTCAAATACTTTCAAAGGAAGGATCTGTTGTTATCTCATTTCAAAATCTGACAATGAAACTTTCAATCCAACACCCTCGATGGCATCCTATTGATCAATTGAGCAGCTGTCAAAATTACTTGCCACCATAAGTGTTTTAGGACATTCATTATGATCATCATACTTCGGACAATCTCTAGAAGATGTCTATTTCTCCTTTCTATTATTCCATTTTGTACAGTGTGAATAGGCATATGGCTTGATGTTGTATCTCTTGGACTGAAAATTAGTTCTCAAATACTTTGTTGGTATACTCTGTCTAATTATCAAACTTCAATACATTCACTACTGCATCATATTAAGTCTAAATTGTCTTGTGGAAGTCTTTAAAGCAAGCAAATACATCATCCTTAATTTTATCAAATATAACCAAGTAAAACGGGAAAAACAATCGATAAATGTCATAAAATATCGATAATCATTCATAGAGCTTGTAAAGCAAAGTCCCCGAACATTAGAATGAATCAAGTTAAAAATTCCAGAAATTCTCTTCCCATAACTAATAATAAGAGCTCCTAGTATGCTCGTCAAACTCACAAGCATCACAAATAAGTTTTTGTTTGTTTGCCTTTTCATACAAATAATGATACAACCGGCTCAATAAATTAAACAAAGAGTGTCACATGCGTCTATGAAGTAGCAGCAACACATCCTTCACACTCCAACCTTCTCTTATTTTATCACTCTCTACTACAGATGTCAAAGCTAAGTCCATCCCCTCACGGTCCAAGTACTAGAGTCCACTATGTCACATTTCAGTCCCAAGTATCTAGCCCATTTTTTTTCTCTTGAAAGATCACCTAAAAAATATCAAAAGAAACAATACAATTTAATTAGAGAAAAAAGACACTAATGGATAAAAGGTTCATCGGAAAAGAATTAGCATGCAACACATCAGACAAAGACATATAATTGATACTCTCAATGCACCCTTACCAACTACAGGTTGTGTTAAACCAGCAACAGTCTGGATGCTCTCTGCTACTGCTAGAAGAGAATAGAAAGAAAACTTTCTAGCAGCAACTATCAATGTTGGGATGAACCAGGATCTACTGTCCATTCTGATGATCTTGCGGTGGAAATAGAGGCAAGAACATGAGTATCACAAGCACCTCTACCAGAGTGAGCATAAGTAGTAATGTTACCCCTTGATGACGACTGGTTGGAAGCATCCTCAGACTCATCTCCTACTGCTTTCTAATTCCTCTTCAACAATTCCAGACACTCATAATCCTCATTGGTAAAAATCATACATCTCTCTCTCACCTGCTACCATCAAATTTACCCAGTAGGTCCTTTCCCACTTTTTCGACCACCACGATCACAACCACGACTCCGGCCTCCACCCTATCCACATCCACCTCTCTTTTTAGGTGACCTAGGAAAGGTCTTGCTCAGATGCTCAACTTTACCACAGTTGCAGCACATATGAGTTTCCCCTTGAACACCTATCATACCTGAGCTCAAGGCAGTCAAAATTGATTGCGCACTTAGAAATCCACTAGGCTCATAATGTAGTTTCATGCGACTCTCCTCCTTTATCATCATAGCAATGACCTCATCTAGTGAAGTGATCGTTGCCTGGGCTAGGACTAATCTCCTTTGATCAAAGCCTAGGTTCAGATGAGTCAGAAACTGCATAATCTTCATATGTGCAAAGATCTTTCATTTCTTGTACCCCAGATCACCACAGCTCAACATATGTGGAAAGCGATCAAGATCTTGCCATAATCGTTCCAGCTTTATGAAGTACCATTGAATCGATCTATAATCATGTACTACTCTCTCTATGTCGCGTTGAATCTGGAACATCCTCATGTGGTTCTTAGTCCCAGCATAGGTCCGCTTCAGCTTTGCCCTGATGTCCTTCAATTTTTGAATGTCATCCACCGATAATACAATCGATGGAACCATCGAGTTGAGAAGTCAGATGTAAGATAAGGCGTGCGTAGTCCCCTGCTCATCCCTCTCAACACTGCCACCCTCTGGCTCAGCCTTGACTCCCGTCAGATATCTCTCTAGTCACTTCCCTATTAGAGCAGCCTAGCCTCAATACGACAAGACCAGCTCAGATATGCGGTCGATCCATCAAGCTTCAGATGCACAAGAGGAAAATCTAGCTTCGCCTGAGTCGAAGCACATGCTGAAGTGGTGGCTCCCATCGAGATGCTAGTTCTCTGTATTAGCCCAACTAAGACCTTTAAAACTTTATGATCTATCTTCCCCATAAGTTACAATCCTTTACCTCCCGCATTATCTATGTTTCCTGACATCCTCAAACACAAGGATTCAAATCCATATCACACGCAATTTCCTCTTTTTTACCTGATCTTGATCGATCCCACCATCAATATCAAACTCAATTTAACTATTCTTTGTTGTGTATGCCCGATTTGAAGCCCTTACCTGATTTTGTTCCATGCGAAGTTGCTTAAACCTCTTTGTTCCTGGGCACACAGGAGCCTGCACTTCCCCCAGCTTCCTAGCAAACGAAGGAGTCGTTGTGTACGAAGACCATCGAAGCTCCCAATTGTCCTGAGCAGGGCTTGCTGGAAAGCAACAATGGAATAGCCAATTTCCCTTGTGGGCGATTAGAGCTAGTTCGGAAACCCTTGCAAGCGATTGGAGCTCGTTCAGAAGGCGCCCATGGGAAACAAGCGCAGGCAAGCCTCCAAGATTCTACTAGCAATGGTGGGAAGGGGGGAAGTTATTGGCTCGGCACATTCCAAGTTCAAGAAGCAGCAAGGCCTGCCTACAGTTTCTCGTTGGTCAGCTCTCCCAATTTCTTAAGACAGGTCGATACGCACTGTGCATTGGAGCTAGTTTAGAAAGCACCAACGAAATAGCGGTGCAGAAAGACCTCAGGAACTTCCTTCTTCCGAAGCTACTCCCTCCTTTCTCGCCTTCCACTTCCTTCCCATTCACGCAACCCAAGCAGCCGGCTAGGTTTGGCTCTGATACCATAAAGAAATTTTTTTTTAGAAAAACCTAACCTATACATTCATAACATGGGTTTAAAAAGGATTTTAGAAATAAACCCCTAGACTTCTACAATATTCCCCATTTACCACTAGGACCCAAAATAAGATCCAATGCTCAACAAAGTTAAGCCCAGATTTAGACATTTTTTTTACTGCTTTATTTAGTTTTCTTTATTAGAATGGGTGACAATGGCTGAAAACATATCCTCTCTGGCCTTCTTTTTTTTCACTCTGGCTTGATAAACATTGGTTCAGTCCAAAACAATTTCTAAGATTCCACATCTGCCAGAAAATGGGATTCCAGAACTAGCAGAATTAAATAAATTAGATTTTATCTAAGGGTTCGTTTGATTCAAAATAGAAATCAAATTTCAGAAAAATGCAGAAATTCATTAAATTTAATTGTTTGGTTGGATGTAACTACAAATTATTAAAAATGTTAAACTTCACAAATCACAGCCGCCAAAAATTTAGTAAGTACATTTTCACACACAAACAAATGAAAATTTCACTCACTTTTTAAAACACCTTCTATCTACAAGCAACCCAATGAGCCCTAATACTACTTATCCGAATACCAATTAGGGATTTACTAAAACCCCATAAATCCTTAAGCAAATTAAAGACAGCTTGGCAGAATTTTAGAGATTTAACTATCTAAATCCCTTATCCCGTGCATCCAAACAATCCCTAAGAACAAAACCCTAATAAATTACAGAAGAACTTGTTAGAAATGGATACAATACCACAGATAAATTATACCCAAAATAAAAGTAGAAAATCAAAATAGTTAATTGGCGTGCATATGGATAAAAATCTAAAAGAAATAAATTAGGGCATCTTCGCCGGTCCTAGAGTAGTCAAGGAAGAATCAGAGGAGAAACTTACGTGAAGCTTTCCTCGGAGCTCTCTGTCGGACCGGAGCTTCACGTATATGCGTTCATCAAGACTGAGCCTGATGAGGTCGAGGGGTTCTTTCACCGTGCTCTCCTCCTCCGTCGACATTTCTCGCTCTCGCGCGCTTCTGTGGAGAGGGAACCGCAGTTTCAACTCTCAAGTCTCGAAGTGCTCAAGCCCCGACTCTCCTTGAACAGGTTCTAAACGGGTTTTAAACGGGTTCTAAGCGGTAGATTTTATGATTTACATGTTTTTATTGAAAATAATAACTTAATTTTTATGAATCAAAATTTAAATTTAATATTTCTTAGAAGAATATATTTTTCATATTGGATGCTTTAGCTTAGTTCTCAAAGGTGTGCATGTCTTCCACTATACATCAAACCATAGAGATTGGTATCAGAGAAGGAGCTAGAGTTTTCTTGTGCTCCTAATTAGTGATTATTCTGTGTCGCATTGCCACTAGATCTCTCTAGTGATCCTTCTTCTTTTCATCTTCTTAAGGGACATTGGTTCCTCCTTTACCCTTCTCTTTTGTTTTGGTGTTTTTTCAAGTTTTAGCGGCATGACCCATTTGATGTTATGGATGATTCTTTTTTTTTTTCTCTCTCTCTCTCTCTCCCATATTCCTCTTCCAGATCTCTTCTTGGACAATCTCCAACTCTTAATTGGAGGGGTTTTATTTATTCTCATTTTACTCGATTTCTTATTTTAATTTGTCATATGTGTCTAGCACAAAAGATAAATTTTATTTCTCGGAGAAAGGAATCGATGAGGGTTCGAAACAATGAAGTATGGTGCTTGTTGGATATGTGTTGGGAAAAAAGGCTCTTCTATGATAACATTGTTACAAATCATTGCTAAAATTTGGAAAACAAAATGTTCAGTGGATTTTCCTTCTCTTACGGAGGTTTTTTTTCTGTTTAAGTTTAATTGTATTGAAAATTTGGATATGGTATTGTCTGATGCTCCTTGATTTATTTTTGAAGAACCTTTTATTTTTAAATGTCTGTCTCCTAATTCCAGACCCATGAAGAAAGATTTTACACATGTGTCTATTTGGGTGAAATCTATGGATCTTCATTTGTGTTGTTAGAATGAGAATGGTATTTCCAAAATTGTGAGTGAACTTCGTGTCCCTCTTATTGTGGTTAGCATATGTGAGAGTAAGTATTTTTTTTAATGTTGCATCATCTCTTCCTGATAACATTTCTCTTAATTTTAACGGAAAAGATATAGTTCAACAGGTTATTTATGAATTGGGACCCGACCCTTGTAAAACATATTATACATTTGCTCATGATTCTGTGAATTTCCCTAAACTACCTTTCTATAAGCCTGCACCTTTTATTCCTGCCTTTAGAGGTCGGAATCAGAGTAGAAATATGAATCCTAGAGTTAAAAGAAATGTTAATAAATATGTTTTGTCTATTTCATGTGCTTTAACAACTAATGTAATTGATGATCCTGAGAACATTCTAATAATGATCTATCTCTAGCTAATGTTGCATGTTCTTTAATTTCTAATGCTATTTTTGTTCATGAGAACATTCCTAATAATGGTCTGCCTCTAACTAATGATATTTCTGTTTTGGGAAATGATTCTTTATTACTTGCCCCTAATCCTAATATTTTTTTATGGACACTTCTTGTCATGTTAAATCAATAAATGATCATATTTCTTATGTTAATGTTGGCACGAAGGGAGAAGTTGTCGAAGTGGCTTTTGTATTACCTTATGATAGTGCTTTTTACCTATTAATACTTCGGTGGATATTTTCGTTCTTTAGAATGCAAGTCTATTTCTTTTCTCTCTAAGAATTTAGTTCATAATGCTGCAACTTTTAAAAATTATTTCTCTCAAGCGCCTTTCGATAAAAGAATGTAATTATTTCTTTTTTTTTACTTTCATTTTTTTTTTCTAATTTTTGTGTTTTTTTTTATTCTTCTTAATATTGTTGTTTGAATTGTGTGTGGGTTTAATAATATTGCTCATATTGTTGATTGTAGAAATCTTTTTAAAGATAATAAGGTTGATTTTTTATTCCTTTTGGAAACTAAACTTTCTTCTTCTTTTCATTCAGAGTTGATTACTTTAAATTCCTTAAAGTTTTTTTTCAAATGATGATAGTTCAATAATTTTAGTTATTATGTTCATGATTTATATTAAATGAAATTCTAAGATTCTATTATTTTGTGCTTTAAATGTTAGCGCTCAATACATTCATGGTCATATACCTTTTTCTTCTTCTGTTAAATCTTACATTATAATTGTTTTTGCTGATAATGATGTTTATGCTAGGAAAATTTTATGGAAATTCATTAATTATGTTGATTTGAATATTGATTATCCTTGAATTTTATTAGGTGCTTTTAATTGTATTTGGAAACTCAAAGAAAAAATTGGGGACAACCCTCCCATTCATAGTTGTCTTTCAGATTTTATGTTTATTAGATAGGGCTATTTGGAATATTGTTAGGACTAATTCTTTCTCATTTTATTTTAAAGTTGTGGATTATCCTTTTTCAGATAATCATCCTATTTTTGTTTCTTTGGGTAATTCTAATAGACATTGTAGATATTTGTATAAAAATTTTTGGAGTCTTTGCTCAGTTATTTATCTATTATTACTGAAGCTCAGAATCTTCCTGTAAAGGATGATCCCCTCTTTGCTTTATATAATAAACTTAAAAATGTTAATATTGCCTTTAAAAATTGGAATTGGTCTTTTCTAAAACTCTTTCTAATCATATTTTGGATCTTAAGTATAAGCAATGTGATGTGACGTGTAACCTTAAGAATTGTCCTTTATGTAAAGATCTTCTTTCTCAAGCATTTGTTTTGCATGATAATATTATGAAAGCTTCAATTTGTGATTAAAGATGAGTCAAGCAATCTGCTAAATTTACTTGCCTTTTTAAAGGAGTAGATGATGCTAAGTTTCTTTATCAAAAAACTAGTTTCATACATAATTCTAATTTTAGCAAAGAAGTATTGGTGATAATTATTATACTTATCATCAAGAAGGTGTTGTTAATGTGGATATATCTATTTATCTTCTTTATTTAATAATTATCATTATGATTTTTCACATTATGATTTGTATATTAGAAATTTTATTTCTAATGATGATTGTATCTCTCTTTCTCAATATTTGTCGAAAAATGAAATTAACAATGCCTTCTTTTGTTCTGATAAATCTTTTGGCCCGGATGATTTTACTTTGAAATTCTTCAAAGATGTTTGCCATATTACTTGTTGGAATTGTATTAATGTCATTTAACAGATTTTTCAAATATCTACTTATTAATATTCCTAAAAAGAATGATGTTAAATTTTTAATGATTTTAGGTCTATATCACTTTGTAATGTTATTTACAAAGTTTTTGGTATCATGTTAGTTTACATGCTCAAAATTATTCTTCCTAAAATTAATCATCATGCTCAAGTTGTTTATTAAAAATCGAGATAGTGCTGGTAATATTATTTTAGTCAATGTACTTATTTATAGTTTTAACTCATTCAACTTTCCTAAGAAATTTTGTGCTAAAATAGATTTTTAAAAAACGTTTGATAATGTCAATAAAACTTTCTTTTACGATATAATAAAATGTTTCGATTTTCCTCTTATTTTTATAAATTGGATTAAAACTTGCATTGTAGATGTTAATTTTTCTATTATTATCAGTGGTGACATGAGAGACTATTTTCCCTCTTATTTTGGTCTTCATCATGGTTGCCCGTTTTTCCCTAACATTTCCACTATTATTATTACTACTTATTATTCTTTATTTGATTATCAAATTCTTGATCATCCTTCTCCTACTAATGAGAATATTTCTCATTTAATTTATGATGATGATATTCTTATTTTTTGAAAAAGATGATATGACTTATGTTAGTCACATTATTTCTAGTATTGATATCTTTAGTAAAGTTTTTAATATTTGTTCTAATGCTTCTAAATCAATTATTTGTTTTTCTAATTCTCTTGACATTTCTACTCAAAACAACATCATTAATGCTTTTGGTTTTTCTATGAAACATCTATTTTGGGATTTTCTTTGTGTCATTATTAAGCTTTCTAAACTAGTTGATGTTGATTGTCAAAAGCTTCTTGATAAATTTCATTATTGACTTAATGACTAAAAATAAAAAATCACTTTATAATGTTGGTAGGTTTCAACTTCTTAAATTTATTTTTTGGAGTTAATTATAATATCTACCATGTTCTTCAAAGACTTAAAAAAGAAAAAAAAAATTAATTAATAATTTCCTAAATCATAATGGTAATGATAAAAACCTTCATACCATGAGGTAAAAATGTCATTGCTTTGCATAAACATCCAAGCGGTCTTAGTTTACCTTCTTTGGATAACAAAAATTTGATGTGTAAATCTAAATTCATTTAGAACATTCTTATTATTTTCTTTTTAATCAGTGTTTGGACCACTATGATTCCATTTGGCATTAATCTCATTCTTTTCTATTATTTGATAAAACATTATTAAAGTGGCTTTGAAAATAAAACCCTCTTTAACTTTCAGGTCTCTAATAATAATAAATTATTTTTCTATTTTAATCCCTAGTTTTATAATTTTTCTCTTTATGAGAAGTTTGGTTACAATATTTTTTGTTTGGTTTGATTTACCTCATAATATTAAGCTTTCTAATATCCTTTTTAATAATGTTTGGTTTCCGCCTTCCACTTCTAGAACTCTTGATTTATGTATTCATGTTATTTACAATATTTCTATTATTGATGATTGTATTTGTCGTTAGAATATTCAAAATTTTTATTCTTATTAAACAGTTTATTTTTTTTATCTTTATGAGCATTTACCTCATGCTGACAGGTACACTTAGTTTTGGTTCAAAGGCTTTCTTTAAAATTTGTTTTTCATTTGAAAAATTATTTATGGTGAACTTAAAAATTAAGGTATTCTTGCTCTTAAAGGAATTTCTGTTAATTCTAAATGTGTTCTTTATTCTAATAATGATGTGATTCATAATCATTTATTTTTTTAATGTCCTCTATCACATTATTTACTAAGTAAATGTATTTATTTTTTTAATTCCTCATCATAATAGTTTTTAGGTGTTATATCATTATGATTCTATATCTTATAAAGTAGATAAGAGATTTCATTTGTTAGTCATTCAAATTATTGCATGTTTT